TCTCGGGGCCCGGCCAGGGGTTCCCAGAGAGAAAGTCCGGGGCTGAGAGCCGCCCAGCGGCAAAAGACAGATGCCTGAGCACAGAGTGCGCACAGGCCACAGAAACCTGGCACCTGCAGCACAGCGTCCCCAGGGCCTCCCCGGCACCGCGTGCAGACCAAAAAGGTGAGCCCGCTCTACAGCGCAGCCTCCTCGCGGCCAGAGGAGGTGGCGCCCGGCGGGTTGGAAAACGCGGCGCGAGCCGGAACTCGGTCCCTGCTGCCTGATGGGAACTGTAGTTCTGGCAACGAGCCAGGCTCCCTTAGAGGGCATTAGGAACTACATTTCCCAGTGAGGGAACGGCTTCGGCAGGCCGCGCGTTACGGGACCACGCACTGTCCACAGCCGGGTCCGTAAACGGAGAGCGTTTGGAGGGCAGGCCAGAAAGGAAGTGTCTTTTCCTTCCTTCTTCTCTGCGCTCTGGCGGCGCCGGCTCTGTAGTCCCTCGCCCCGCTACTGTGTGTTCCCTGTCCGGCTCCCCGTGTTAGGCTTTCCTGGTTCCCCGCAGGGAGTTGGGTCCTCAAGATTCCGAGGTAGCGGCTGCTGCCGCGCGGGAGTTAGGGGAGCACCCCTTTTCGGCCCTGCCAACCCCGCGGCCCGGCCCGTGCCTCTATGGGCCCAACCCAGAAGCCCAATGTGTGCCACCGGCTGAGTCGCCGTGCGCTGGGTTTCTTCTCGCGCGACGCAGGCGTGGTGCAGAGGACGAACCTGGGCATCCTGCGGGCGTTGGTGTGCCAGGTGACTGCCCGCCGGCCGGGAGCGGGATGAAAGGCAGCGGGGTGCCTGGGGAAGGTCTCAAGCCTTCTGCTGGAGTGCACTTTTTACGCGGTAGAGCCCTCTTTTAAGAAGGTCATATGTAATGGGGAGGGGAATGCATGCCTTGAATCTCGGGGATTAGTAAGCAGATATTAATAGGACCGCCAGATGCTCTTAGTTTTTTAAGCTTCTTATATCTTCCTGCAAACAATCTCCAAAGGGTGGTCACCCCACTTAAAACGTGAGAGTGAGTCAGAGTAAGATTTGAACATAGTGTTTTTAAGTAACGTACATGAAATTTCTTCGATAATTGTAAATTTAACTATCCAACATAAAAATTAGTGCACAGTAGAGGCTTATGAGTTATTTCCTAAACAGAAATCCTTTATCTTTCAGGAAAGTACTAAATTTAAGAATGTTTGGACAACTCATTCCAAGTCACCTATAGCCTATGAGAGAGGAAGAATATATTTTGATAATTATCGGTGCTGTGTCAGCAGGTACCTTGGGGGGATTTTTTTTTTTTTCCTGTAAGTCACCTCACTGTTGATCTTAACACTTATTTTTATAGAACTACATGCCTACATTAGAGTTTAGTGAAGTAGGAGAATGGAAAAATGGGTCCAAAATAAGAGTAGGTGGTTAAATGTCTGTAATTTTAAAATCTTGTTTAAAGTCGTAGGTTTCATCTTTGTTAATACCATTTAAAGCAAAATTACGTTAGTGCACGCAAAATGGTAGATTGCTTTTAGATCACTGTTATTTTATTCTGCTTAAAAGATACCAGAATCAAGACAGCGAAGTACCTAATAATTAGATGCTGCTTTAGAGAAGAATGTTTTGTTTTGGAAGTACTTGCCTCTTCTGTTAAAAAAAGACTTTAAAACTTGCTCAAGTAGAGAATAGTATAGCGAACCCCCATGTACCCATTACCTAGATTCAAAAACTATCACGATTTTGCCACATTTGCTTTATCCCATCCTCTCCCTTTTCCTTTACCTTTTTGCTAGGTATTTTCAAGTGTATTCTAAACACCATGCCGTATTTAAGTTTGCTTCTCTAAACAATATGGACATTTTCTTTTTTAAAAACAACTTTATTAAGATATAATTCACCCATTTGAAGTATGCAATTCAATGATTTTTAGTCATTAGAATTTATATTCAGTGAATGTGAATTTGATGAACCATTGGTTGTTCGTATAGGTAACCATCACTACAGTTAATTTTAGAACACTTTCATTGCCTCAGAAAGAAACCTAACACCCTTTAGCTATCACCTCAATTCCTCCATCACTTTCAGCCCTAAGTACTTTCTGTCTCTATAGATTCACCTATTTCATATAAATTGAATCACATAATATGTGGTCTTTTGTGACTAGCTTCTTAATAAGTGACCAGTTTGTTAAAAAAGGAACAGCCAGATAGAAGAGATGCATAGGGCAAGCAAAGGGGCATATGTGAGAAGGATGTATACAGTTAAGGATTTTTTGTCTTAATGGAGAAGTGACCCCTTTATCATTATGTAATGCCACTCTTTATTACTGATAATTTTCCTTGTTGAAGTCTGCTTTGTCTGAAATTACTATAGCTACTCCAGCTTTTTTTTGATTGGTGTTTGTGTGGTACATCTTTCTTCATCCCTTTACTTTTACCCTATTTGTGTCTTTATATTTAAAATAGCTTTCTTATAGACAACATATATTTGGGTCTTTTTATTTTTTTATCCACTCTGACAGCCTCTGTCTTTTAATAGGTAGATTTAGGTCATTCATATTTATAGTAATTATTGATAGACGTGGTTGAATACTTGCCATATTTGTAACTATTTTCTGTTCATTGCCTTCGTTCTTTTTTATCTTTTATTTTCTGCCTTTTCTGGTTTCAACCGAGCATTTTATGTGACTCATTTTCTCTTCACTTAGCATATCAATTATACTTTTTAAAATTTTTTAGTAACTTGCTATATACATTACAACTAATATATTACTTTCAAGTAACACTGTACCTCTTCCACGTGTCCTTCAGCTACCTTGTAATAGAATATTTCTAATTTCTCTACTGCCTTTTATAATATTGCTGTTATTCATTTTATTTTTCCCTAAACTGTAATCACTGAATATATTGTTGCTATTATCATCATTGACAAATTTTTATCTGTTAAACCAATTAACAATAAGAAAAATAAAAAAATTGCTTTCATTTATTTTTTCCTTAATACACTTCCTTTCCTTATGTAGATCTGAGTTTCTGACCTATATCATTTTTTCTTTTCTTTCTGAAGAACTTCTTTGAAAATTTCCTGTAAGGCAGGTCTGCTGGCAGCACATTTCCTCAATTTTTGTTTGTCGGAGAAAGTTTTACTTCTCAACTTTTGAAAGATAATTTCTTGGGATACAGAAGTCTAGGTTGGTAGGGTTTTTGTTTTATCACTTTAAATATTTCTCCCCACTCTCTGTGTGCTTTCATGGTTTCTAAAAAGAAGTCCAATGTACTTCTTAACCTATTCCACCATAAGTAAGGTGCTTTTTACTCTCTGGCTTCTTTAAAAATGTTATCTTTGTTTTTTATTACCTGTAGTTAGAATAATATGCCTAAGTGTAGGTTTTTTGGTATTTATTATTCTTTGTGTTCTGTAAGCTTCCTGAATTTGTGGTCTGTAAGCTTCCTGACATTAATTTTGGAAAATTCTCAGCCATTATTTCGAGTATTTCTTTTGTTCTCTTTTTCTTCTTTTGATATTTCCATCATATGCACATTAGATGTTTTTTCTAGTTGTCCCACAGTTCTTGGCTATTCTGTTCTGCTTTTTTCATTCTTCTAGATTGAGAAGTTTCTATTGACATATCTTCCAGCTCACTGATTCTTTCCTTGGCTGTGTCTAGTCTGTCGATGAGCCCATCAAAGATATTCTTTATTTGTATTAAGGTGCTTTTGATTTCTGACATTTCCTTTTGATTTTTTTCTCATGCTTTTTATCTTCGCTTGATTACCTGTCCTTGCATGTTGCCCACTCTTTCAATTAGAGCTTTTAGCATATTAATCTTATTCTAAGTTCCCAATCTGATAATTCCAAAATCTCTACCATATCTGAATCTGGTTCTGATACTTGCTTTGTGTCTTTAAACTTTGTATTTTAGCATGCCTTGTAATTTTTTTTTTTTTTTTGAAAGTTGTATGTAGTGTATAGAAGGAATTGTGGCAAATAGATCTTTAGAGTGAGGTTTTATGTTTATCTGGCTAGGAGTTAGGCTGTGTTTGTTGTTTGCTGTAGCTTTAGGTGTCAGAGTCTAAAATTTCCTCTAGTGTCCTTGTTTTTGTCTCCCCAGTAGTGATTCTTAGTATCCACCTCTCTCTCCAGTTTTGGGGGCTGTAGTTGCCCTGTGACCTCACTTCTTTCATATATCCAATAAAAGTTGTTGATTTTCAGCTTGTTCAACTTTTTTCTTGTTCTGAGGACAGGAGCAATGACTTTCAAGCTCTACATGTTGGGCCATAAGATAGAGAAGATAGTTTTTTAGGTAGTGTTTAAAATTTATTCTGACATCAAGAGAGCTCCTCCCAGGAGTTTTTTTTCTGGTTCTTTCTGGCAAATTAGCCAACCTACAGTTTAGCCTGTATGGCCAGTGACTCTACCAGTCTCTTCTCATTTGTCTTTTATCACAATCTCCACTAGCTTTGAGAGTGCTCTTAGGCTGGAACTTCTCCATACTCTGTTGCAAATAAAGTCAGTTCCTATGGGAAGAGACTAGGGGCTATCTGCTTCATGGCCTTCATTTCCCCCTCAGGCAGAATCTTTGAGCCAAGGCTCTGAAGCTTGTGGCAGTGGATATAGATGATACTTGTTTCTCTAAGTGACTACCCTACTTGGGATTGGAGTAGGCATTAACCTCAGGTTTTCTTGCCTTTCTCAGAGTGGAACCACTGCTTTATGAGATGGGATAAGGGCAGTCCAGGCTCCAATGTTCTTAGGCATACTACACATGAGGTAGAGCCTCTGTCCCATGGGTAGGGGCTAGCGGGACAAAGGGAGCCACATCTCTTGACTGCACTCACCTAGGACTCAGCAACACGCAGTAGGGGGCTAGATGATAAATGCTGTCATCCTGCCCCTCAGGAAGGTAGTCCTCTAGGAGCTGTGGTAGGGGGAACCCTGTGCTCTTGGCTGTACCAGCCTGAATGGAGATTTCATCTTGCTGAGCTGAGAATGGTGGGAAGGGAGCAAATTCTATCTAGTTCAAACACCACAGACTCACTATTCTTTCTGAGCTCTAGTAGATTTTCTTGAATAAACGTTTCTTCATTTGCTGCGAGCTCCCAGGACCGTTTCCAGGAACGTTAAAATAGTTGTCTTATTGTAATTTCTACCACTTTTCTTGGGGAACATGCCCACAGAGCTCCTTATGCTCTCCTGCTGGAAGTGGAAATCTGGACATTTTCTTATATGATCATGTCATCATACCTAGCAAAATTAGCAATAATTCTTTGGTATCGTTTAATACCCGTTTCATAACCTTCCCAATTCAGAGGTATCTGCTTTATTTAAAAAATAGAGTAAGTGACATTGATTGCTGATTAAATGCTAAATAGTAATGGAGTTCTTTAATATGCCATTCAGGGGTGTTTTTCCTATAGGTTAGAGTCACATATGAAGTTGCTTTCATTCCTGTGAAATTCTGTTTGACTTAAACCTTTGAATCATGAAACAATATCAAAGGTGAATAAAATTGTTACCCTGAAAATTGTTTCTAAATAGTAGATTAATTTTAAAGTTCATCAGTTAAAAGAATGTGAACATCCGTGATCACATCTCAGTAGTAATCAGAGAATTATAAATTAAAGGTAAGAGGCTGTTTTTCACATCAAAAATGTAGTATTCAATATTAACGGAAGTATAAACTTATTCAACCTTTCTGAAAGGCATTTATTAGTAAAAAAAAAACCTTAAGGGGTATTTCCATTTTCATTCTAAAATAATAGGACTCTTTATCTAACTTATTTTAAAATTTTGTAACAACAAATATGAATGTTATGGAATTTTATTCATAGTAAATATTCAAGGGTAAAGAAAGAATTCAGTAATTATCCTGTTTTGGAAAATAATCTGCAGATATATATATTTAAAGAAAAGCTAGAGGGAAATGAACCAAAATGTTAGTAATGGTTATTTTTGGTAGTTTTATGATAATGGTTATTTATAGTAATGGAAATGAACCAATATGTTAGTTATGGTTATTTTTCATAGTTTTATCATTTATTTTAACTTAATTATATTTATCAGATTTTTTTCTATGAGTATGTGTTATTAATTTTGTTGTCAGGAAAAAATGTTAACATGTAGTTAAGAAGAGGATAGCAAAGTAGCAAACTGTATTTTGGTATTCTAAATCTCGGACTAGAAAACAATCACTCGCAAAATGAACACTGTCTCAGTTATCAGGACAAATAATCATTTATTTTTCTTTTTTCCAAGTGTTGCATCTGAGCCAAGAAAACTTTATGAAATGCCAAAATGTTCCAAATCAGAAAAAATAGAAGATGCTTTATTATGGGAATGCCCAGTGGTAAGATTTGTTTTTAGGTATTTGTTTCTAAACCACTTTTAGCTTAGAACTGATTACTGTTAACCTATTGTATAGAGGAATAAAACTTAAATATAGTGAGTCCTTAATCTTGAATCAAAAAGAGAGTTTACCTTTTGAATATCATTTTTCTTATGAAATATCTATTTAAAAATTATGTGTTAAATTAATGAATATATTTTTAAAATTCGATACCATTTGTAAATCTTGAAAACTGAAAAAAGTTATGAACTGATTAAAAATTCTATGAGCAATATAAACTCATTTATAGTTACTCTTAGTGTTTAAGAAATCATTCTAAATATACTGAAACAATATTTATTTTATTACATTACATTGCATGTTATGGGTAACATTTATGTTACATGGCTCTTGGAAAGTGGATTCTTATGAATTTCCTCCACAAACTTTGTTAGGAAAATAATAAGATAAAAATAAAAAATAAAATAATAAGTTTAGCTCATTCCAGCAAATTAGCATTGCCTTGGTGTGTAGTTTTCATAAGATATTATTACCTTATAGTTGCTAAAGGAGTTGGGAGGAATTGGGTTATAGACAAATAAGTTTGGGATATTCTGAGTTTAAAAGGTTAAACAAATTTATAGAATTACTTTTCAGAATGTTTAATACTGATAATACATACAATAATATTAATGTACATAGTGATTGTCAAATCATTTCCCTAAACTCTTGATAATAGAACTTCCTTTTTTGAGGTATATTTCTAAATATTGGTCTTCCGTGTGATCAGTATTCTAAGAAGTGCACTTAGAAAATACTATGACAAATTAATCAGATCTTGGATTCTGAGTGATCGTTCTTTAGGAAAAATATTAGAACTCACAACATGTGACCAAGAATAATGTTTAAAGGATAAGAAGGACTTATATTGAATTTACTATTAAAATGATTTAAAAAAAACAAACAAACTTGTTTTTACATAAAATAGTACTGGTCTGGAGCTACTGCTTTCTTTTTCCTGGACTTATTCTCTGTTTTTAGAAGGTTCCTTTCTAAAAATCAGAAAGCTTTTAAGTCTCTGTTTTTTTCCCCCAAATCCTCATTGAAAGCTAGAAATAACTGTTGCGCCCCCAACATCTAAAGCCTTTTAATCCATTTTCATTGGTGCAGGGAGAAGGATGACAGATTTCTTCATGGAGAAAGGTTTAGAAGACACTAGTACAAAGCACCAAAAATTTAGTGCAATCCTGTAAAAATAAAGTTTTTAATAACCTAATTTCTAGTCTTAGTTCCCTTTAAACATTTTGTTCTCGCTTAAAGTGAAACAAGATTTCCCACTAAGAAAAACTAGGAAGCATATTGCATTATTTTTAACATACTTATGTGAAATTATGTTTAAACTGTCACCCTTGTTTTCTGAGATAACAGCACTATAACTTTTGATTTAGGAAAATAGTTCAAACCTATTATATATGCTCTTTCATATTTTTTTAATAAGCAAGATATAAATAGAACATGTAAAAAATTTTAAAATCTCCATGATATAATTATATAAGACATGTAGAATAAACAGTTTACATCATTGCTTGTAAATTTAATGTGGGACTTCTAGTAGTTAATAAACTTAAAAATAAAATTGACAAACCCCTGGCTAGACTCACTAAAGAAAAAAGAGAAAGGAAACAGATAAACAAAATCAGGGATGAAAGAGGGGAAATTACAACAGACACTGCAGAAATACAAAGGATCATACAAGAATATAAAAGTATATAACACCAAATTCAATAACCTAGAAGAAATGGACCAATACTTAGAAAAATACAACCTTCCTAGACTGAATTAAGAAGAACTGGAAAATCTAAATAGACTGATCAGCAGTATGGAAATTGAAACAATCATCAAAACCTAACAAAAAGTAAAAGTCCAGGATTAGATGGCTTCATCAGTGAATTCTACCAAACATTCAAAGATTTTTTAATATCTATTCTCCT